TGCTTCGGCAGGAGGGTTGGACTAGATGACCCACAGAGGTCCCTTCCAACCCCTACTATTCTGTGATTCTGTGATTCTGTGACACGAGCACCGAGACGGGCGAAGCCTCTTCCTTCACCAGCAGAGACCTGCGCAGGGACATTTGGGTTGGTGCAGCTGTTAAACAAGCTGTCCCGTAAGGGATTTCCTTGCAAGGGAGGTGGCAGGAGATGCTTCGGGCGCATCGTTGCTCTCTTCCCTGGATGCGAGGGGGTTGCGTCGGAGGTTGGAAGCCTTCCTCCAGCCTTCCTCTTCTCTGACATCTCTCTTTCTCCCGCAGAGCAACGGCAGCAGGGATGCAGGTGGCTACCTTTGCCACGCTTGCACGCAGTGGCACTTCGGCTCTCTGACACCACTGATCTTCCCAGCGCTCCAGGAACAGCCCATCCAGCTCTAACGAAGCCCTCCAGCTCCCCAGAGCCCTGGCTGCGGCCCGGAGCCGTCCCGGATGCGGGACAAGGCCTGTTGTCGCATCCCAGCTCCGACCTCAGGTGGATATTGGAGCAGGATTTCAGACCAGCTCTGAGAGGAACCCTCCAGGCTGTCTGCAAGGAGGTGCGAGACCTTTTCTCCAGCTCTGCCGTGCCCTCCATGAGGTGGTCAGCATGGCCTGCGTCGCTGCACAGAAGAATATGCACTATATAAACTGTATCAGACAGGAAAGCTGCTTTTGTTTTTGAGCATTAACCCTCCATTACCTCTGTCACCAGGAAAACAGCTCCAGTGACCAAACTGCCAGGATTCCCTTGCCTGTTCCGTCACGTCACGCCTCGGTGAAGTCCCTCTGACCCACCAGAAGAGGAAACGCAACACTGAAAAGTACCCAAAGAAACACTTTGTTTCTGGAAAATGGACTTTTTCCTGGAGCCTGTTTTAATGGGGAAAATGTCGCTGTCGGCTCGGGGAGGAAGTTGGTCACCTCTCCCAGCTGAATTAATTTTCCTTACTTGCAGCCAAGGCGTTTCCCCAGCCTCTGTTTCCCTTCTCCCTGCAGCAAACTGTGAGGAAAGAAGAGAGACGGCATCTGAAGAACTGCTTTGGTTTGGTTTCCGTCTAATTCGGAGACAAACTGGAGAGCGTTTTTAATGCTGAAATTAGATTTGTAACAAACAACTAAAAAAAAAGCCTTAATGCTTTTTTTTTTTCCCTCTTCCCTTTTGTTAAGAAGTCGTCCTGGGTTGCGTTTATTTACCAGCCATCACAGCAGCAACGGTGCAAGCAGCGGGGTGGTCTTGTAAATCAGGTGGGTGTCTTCTCTGTTTGAAGACGCCGTGGCTCGTTGAACCAGAGCCCTTGTCATCAAGACGAGGAGATTAAAACTGAAAGTGATTCTGGAAGAGATCTGCTCTTGGCCGTGAGTCATGCCCGCTGGGGGAAGCTCGTGCATCCTGTTGATTGCCGTAGTTATTCATTAAATGGTAGCTGGCTCCCCTTTTGCTTTCGAAGCACCGACTCCAGGAAGGCTTTCCCTGTTCCGCTCACCTGAGCGCGGGCACTTCACCGGAAGTGTGGATCGGCGAAGTGGATAGAGAACTGGCTGAATGGCAGAACTCAGAGGGTTGTCATCAGCGGCTCTGAGTCTAGTTGGAGGCTGGTAACAAG